GCAGACACTTACATACGGCCCACATACTGCATGAAATGATGACACTTGGGCACATATTTTGCGCGATCGTGATTTTCGAAAGTAGTACATCACTTTGTAAACGTTTATTATTACTATTTGATGAGTCTCCACATACAGTTTAATAGAGCGCTTGGACCAATAAGCTGATTCACGTGACGTCACACTTAACAAGTGAACAATTGGATTGGACAGAATATTCTTGGTTCTACAGAATGTTAAAATACACATACATACGTTTGGACCACTTCATTTAATGATTGCTATCAGGATGAGACTTTCCAACAGCATAACAAAAATAGTTTCTGAAGACAATCACCTATTGCAATGTTACAAGCCATAATCCAAACAGCCACAAGGACAGTCACAACACTGAAAGCTTTGATTTGGTTAATTGTAATAAAATAATTTTTGAGGACATGTGAATTAAAAACTAAGGAACAACATTCAGAGTCACAGTGAGCACGATAGCATTTAGCTTTTTAGCTCCACCTACTCTCATGAAACACCACAAATTATGTAACTGAATCAGTGTTGTGCACTACATACATGTTAATAGGTGCATGTTTTTCCATAGACTTAACAACTTAAAATCAATGTTTTGAGGAGTATAATGTTCTGTACAACACCAATAGGTAATTTAAAAGTTAAAATAATGTGAACAGATGGGCTCATTAAAATATGATATAAAAATCTAATAGCTCACAGTAAGTCTATCTTTAAATTTGTTTTAGCCTTCAAAATGACTAAAGTCAGTTTTTATTCCCAAATGTGACCTTAATCACTTAATAACACAAATTCTTATGTGTATAGCCTAAGCAATTATAGCAAACCTTAGATCTTCAAACATCATGATGACTGTAAATGTAGACTGTAAAGGAAGGTTCTGGAGACTCCCTTTGCCACCCCCAACCACCTCCCCCCCCCCCCCCCCCCCCACTTTCAACTAGATGACAGCACTGTGTTCTGGGAAAAACGTGTTGCACCACATTGAGTCACCGTCATAATGGATTCCAAGATAACTAAATGAATCAGCAACATGAGTAGTAAAGCTAAGCTTTTTATTTTTAAAAGATATGCAGTTGAAGTCAGAATTATTAGCCCTCCTTTTATTTATTTATTTTGAATATTTTCTAAACGAGGATAAACAGAGTCAGGACATTTTCACAGTATGTCTGATAATATTTTTTCTTCTGGAGAAGGCTTTATTTGTTTTATTTCGGCTAGAATAAAAGCAGTTTTTAATTTTTTAAACACCATTTTAGGGACAAAATTATTAGCCCCTTTAAGCTATTTTTTTTTCGATAGCCTACCGAACTAACCACCATTATACAATAACTTGCCTAGTTAACCTAATTAAACTAGTTAAGCATTTAAATGTCACTTTAAGCTGTATAGAAGTGTCCTGAAAAATATCTAGTAAAATATTATTTACTGTCATCATGGCAAAGATAAAATAAATCAGTAATTAGAAATGAGTTATTATTATGTTCAGAAATGTGTTGAAAAAAGCTGCTCTCCATTAAACAGAAATTGGGGAAAAAAGGTGGCAAATAATTAATAATTCTGACTTCAACTTTACAAGTTATCCAAGATTAAAAAAATATAAAGCTACTTTTTTTTTAACAGATGTTAACCCTTTGACTGCCCCTCTACCAAACGGTTGACCATATTTTGACTTTTTTAGATAATATTTTACACTACACAGTATTGTTGGTTTACAAAAAAATAAAATAAAAATAAAATTCAAACATAATCCTGTTGCACTACTACACTTGGTTTTGGTTTTATTGTAAAAAAAATAAAATAAAATAAATAAATAAATAAATAAGAGCAAGAAAACATGTTAAATAGGAATCTGAAATATTTTATGGCGTACTTAAAAAATCAAAACTGTTTTATTTTGAAAACTTTTTAAATAAATTGGTCTTACACTTCATATTTTCAGATTCTTTATAGTATATGTATTAAGCCCAGTACGTTTACCATTAACCGACATATTAACCAATTGGTAGAGGTTGATATTTTAGAAATTGTGGGATGTGATGGGGAAAAATTGCTTTGAGTGTGTTAACTAGTGACATTAGGAGTTAAGAAATGCAATTCAAATTTTTTTTTCTTGGTGGGGCGTTTAAAGGGTTTAAGTGCCCTTATTATGGTATTTAGTATTGAAGGTTTCGATACTAAATTAAACAGGTTTGAGGTCAATAATATTTTAATTTCTCATAATTGTATTTAAATGGTTGACACAGTGGCGCAGTAGGTAGTGCTGTTGCCTCACAGCAAGAAGGTCGCTGGTTAGAGCCTCGGCTGGGTCAGTTGGAGTGTGTGTGGAGTTTGCATGTTCTCCCGATTTTCGCATGAGTTTCCTTTGGGTGCTTTGCTTTCCCTCACAGTCTAAAGACATGCATGTGAATTGGTAGGCTAAACTGTCCGTAATGTATGAGTGTGAATGAGTGTTTATGGATGTTTTCCAAATATGGGTTGAAGCTGGAAGGGCATCCGCTGCGTAAAACATATGCTGGATAAGTCATTGGCTCATTCCACTGTGGCAAACCCCGGATTAATAATCAAAGAAGATTCGCACCAAATATCAGTTTTCAGTCAGCCGACTCTGGCGCCACTCCAGCGCAGCACAAAGACCCTGCAGAACCGGTTTGGTACTTTACGTCCCCACTGCCGTCTGGATGACAATGGAGACTGCAGTATCTGGAGTGGACAAACTCTCCCTCAAATCTGCCTTTGTCTGCTTTTCACAGCTCAGAGGTCAGACAATGAAATCTGGCCAGCAGACATGCACTGACTCACCAGAATCTGCCAGAAGATTCTAAAGATGCTGTGCTCAAACAGCTGATGATCAAATTGGAGGTCATAAATTGTGCTATTTTTGGCCCTAATTATTGCTTAGGCTCGCTCTACTGGGTTTTAAGTGCACTATAACTTTTTTAAAGTACTCAGACTTCCTAATAGATGAACCAAGGCATACAAGAATTTTAGAGAGGATTTAATAAATGTTACAGTTAATCCTAGTCATCTTCAGCTGTCTCAGATCACTGTATCTATATGTTTTTGTTTGTTTGATCTTTTATGTTTGACACAGATATAGCATTTACTTGTAAATATTCAGATTTCGTGCAGAACAGAAGAATCTGGAGACATAAAATAATACCTGAATCGATTTTATTTTTTTAATTACATAATTCAGTCTTTCATTTTCCTTTTGGCTTTGTTCCTTAATTAATCAGGGGTCACCACAGTGGAATGAACCGCCAACTTATCCACAATATGTTTTACGCAGAGGATGCCCTTCCAGCTGCATCACTTGGAAATCGATTACTTTATATATATATATATATATATATATATATATATATATATATATATATATATATATATATATATATATATATATATATATATATATATATATATATATATATATATTTCATCTATTTATTTTATTTTATTTTTTTATTTGAGCAGTTTATTAAACTTATTTTAGTGTAGATTTGTATTTTCAGTTTTTTTTCAATGCATTTTTTCACATATTTAGTGCATGTTTTGTGGTCTAGTATAGTATAAATGGCATTTTGGTGAAAAATACATTTATTGCTGACATTTTAGTGACAAGTAATATGATGATAGGGCGCCATGTTGTGTTAATCAATGAGAAAACAGAGTAGTAGATTGTCTACATAAAATGGATCTTATTGCTATATATCTCAATCATATTTCCTATAGATATATAAAGGTTTCAAATGCTTATAGCTTTATAAGCATTACATAAAGGATTAAAGTAATCTGATGATAATTTAAAACAAGTACACACAATTAGACTATATTAAAAAAATAAAAACATTTTTATTTGAACAAATAAGTAAATAAATGTTTAAATTACAAATGCAATTAAAACCCACACATATACAGTTAAAGTCAGAATTATTTGTCCCCCTTTGATTTTTTTTTTCTTATTTAAATATTTCCCAAACCATGTTTAATACATCATTTGGATACATTTGCGCAGATGTAATAAACATTTTTTTTAGACAATTGTCAGAACATATCATAGAAAATGATGATATATATAATTTATAGGTATAATGTATACTTCTAGGCATGGGCGTTGCTGGTTCTTGATTATAAAAAAAAAAAACAAGTGAATTGAATAAGCTAAATTGGCCACAGTGTGAGTGGGTGTGTGCAAGAGTGTATGCGGGTTTCCCAGTGTTGGGTTGCGACTGGAAGGGCATCCGCTGTGTAAAATAATGCTGAATAAGTTGGTGGTTCATTTCGCTGTGGTGACTCCTATAATAAAGATACTATATAAGAAAATGAATGAATGAAAGATGCTTTACCTGTTGTTATTATTTTTTTTACATCAAGACAAAATGTAGAAAAGGAGATCGAGTGACATAAGAAAAAAATAGTAAAATCAATTAAAAATAAATTGAAGTACAAAAGGTGTATTTTAGAACTTTTGGGCCCCATAGCTGGATTGCTTAGGGCCCCAAATCACTAAATCCTCCCCTGATTATTACATTACTCGCGTTACCCCAATACTTATATGTGTATATATATATATATATATATATATATATATATATATATATATATATATATATATATATATATATATATATATATATATATATATATATATTGGATCTCTATACAAAAAAAACTAGAAATATGGAGGTGCCTCTCACACAGAGTTTATTATATTTTAGTTTAGATATTAGAGACTGAAAAAGTCTTGCCACAGTATATATTGAATGCCTGAGAGCGCACTATCAAGTGCATTTACAAACCGCTTTAGGCTCTTTGAAATCCATCACTCAGACATTTTCCACATACTTTTCTCTTAAGGGTGATACAGAGTATAGGCGCGGTAACCCCGCCCCTATCAGCGCTCATCCAATAAAACAGCCACAATCCTGCATAACCGCCCCTAAATAAGCGCGCAGTGCAGCACGGAAGGAAGCGTATGGGCGTCGCCGGATCGCCCCTTTTCACTCTTCAGCCAATAAAGAGTTGTCTAAAATAGCCCAAATTTACATACACTTCCCTAACTAAGCGTCTAGTGTGGAACATTTGCGCCGTTTCTGCGGTTTGGGCCTTCGTTGAAACTGCTGCACTGTCGTTCACGTGTTTAAGAACTTTTCAAAATACGTTACCTGTTTCTGAAACATTTAACTGGAAAAGAGCTCCAGCGCATCTTGAAGTTACTTTAAAATAACGTTTCTGTCGACACATTCGCAACAATGGATGATCAAATAAGCTCCACGACACCTTCATATGACGTCCATCACGATGATGAAGGAGAATTTCGAGCAGAAAAACAGGCGAACTCTCTGATGGACGAAGATTTCTCGAGTAGTGAAGCGCAGGCTCATGTTCCCGAGGTGGAGGGGATTTTAGATCTGGCCGGAGGAGCGAAAGATGCGCTGGAGAGACACAGGTCCACAATGCCACGTAAAGAAGAGCCGCTACTAGACTTTGGAGAACCAGAACCAGAACCATCATCCACCATTAAACCAGAGCCAGAAGCTCCAAAACCAGCGCCGATCAGCTCGTTTGGAGATGCATCCCCAAAACAGGCGAAACCCGAAGAAAAAGAAGAGAAGCCAACAGTAGCGCCATATAAATGTAACTCTTCGTGCTCATGTAAGTAATTTAATGTTACGTTATGAATGTAAACGTTATCATTTTGAGATTTAATTTAATTGGGTATCTATAATGTGTATACATGAACCAACTTTTTAAGCCAAGTTATCCACCCTCATGTTACACCATGATTAATTGACATTAACGTTACGTCAGATCCGTTTAAATAATTCACATTACCTGCATTAACTTACTCAAGTCTGAGTGAATTTTTTTACCTTCTTTGTGTCGCATTAACCTCCTTAATGTTTTTAATCTCATACAAGTCTCGTTTTATTGCTTGTAGATCTCAAAAACTGCTTTAAAAATTGAAGTTCTTTCAGCCAAAATGTATTTAATTACTCGTGTTGTTCGTGTCTCTTATGGAAAGTACCACAGAATACAGATTTATCTGATGCGTTTATATTTTTGTCATTTTTTAAACCACGTGGATGAGCAGCTTTCCTGAAACTGATGATTAAGAAAATTAAAATATTTTCCATGTCATGGTGATGACGCCACTATACTGCCATCTTGTGGACAATGTGAAGCATTACGAAAATTACAAACGACGACAAAAAAGACTTTATTGCTCAATATGTGTCCATTTTGTTTATATGTAAAGTTATACAAATGAATTAAACCTTAACAGGTTTACTAATTCCGTTTTTTTTTTAAGTCGGAAACAAAATGGCGTTGTAATTGAGCTTCACACACTTTGCATTCATCACCTCCCAATTGTAAATAACAGGCTGATTAAAGGTCAGTTTATCTGGAGACAGAGTTTACTCAGAAGTGTCACTGACACTGAGGGAATTGCAATGACCCACAGTCAAAATGGGCTTCATAAATCATCCATTATACTCTGTCCATAATCATTTCAGACTAAAGGGCACGCTCAAAAAATGACGTTTGCTGTTTGTTCAAACAACTTTCTTAAAATGAGCTGAAATGACACAATTGCTGAGTATTCGCGACAACATAATTAATTCCACTTTGTAAACATTATTAAGTTAACTTGATTCCTTCATGTTTGGATATGTTTAGGTGATCTCCAATCTTTTACTAATACAAATTGTTGTTATATCTTTACCAATTCTATCTTAATTAAAACAATTTTATCGCCCTAAATCTAATTACTACAGACACCAGATTCATAATTGCATTACCAGTATGTCATTTTGAAATTGTGGATGTTTCCAATTTCTTTGACTTTTTTTTATTTATTTTTTTTATCAAATAATTTATTAATTTCAAACGTTATTTGATAGCATTGTGCCATGTATAATATTTAAATGTGTGGATGGACTAGATATATCTTGACAGCACTTTCAGGTCATATATTTATATCTCATTATATTTTCCAAAACGACCTTCTAGTTATGGGACCAGAAAAATCCATATTAAATATCAATTATATTTTTTTAGATTTTAACTTATTGAAATAAACATGCGTTATGGATGAGACCAAAGAAGTATGTGAGACGCAACAAACTTTGTAGAAATCTGTGAATTAAGCTGCACAACTCAAAAGAGGCAATGCTAATCAAAAGAAAACAAGTTGTCTCTATAGAACAAAAATGATTGATATTTATTTTATTAAAAGGGCACCAATGATCAACTTTTGTAAGCTGTTTGGACAAAACTGTGTGTAGTTATAGTGTGTCCACAGTCAGTTTTTTTATTATTATTATTATTATTTATTTATTTATTTATTTTAAATTTCCTGACGTTAAATAGGATCCAAATCCCAGTGATTCTGAGGCCCAACGTGAAGTAGGAGTGCGGTTTCCCCACCCACTGAATTAGTTGACAGACATAATGTTTCTATAATAACATGTATGTATACACATGTCCACAGTACAGTATTTTTTTATTTTTTGGGAATAAACTGGGCTTAAAAATATTTGTTACAACTCTGTGATTTTTATAAGTTTTAAATGTTTTTAAAACTGAATGTTTTTAAATAACATGTTTTAACAGGGTGTCTGCAGGCTCTTAAAATGTCTTAAATCTCGAAATCCAAATTGTAGGTCTTAAGTCTTAAATTTACTGAAATACTGAGTTGTAGATCTTAAATCTTTTTTTTTTAAACGGATCCTAACTTTCCTTTATGTATTGCTACCCAATCTGGCCAAAACCCAAACAATCACCAACAATCCAACTCGATAAGACTTTAAACTTTTCATTTCTCAACTGTGTTAATCATCTTCCCTACATTAACATTTATTTAAACGTTCTCTATGTATTTACTGCTGAGAACACCGACCTGGTCAGATTGTTGTCCATAGATTTAGTTTATTATAGTTTTTAAAACATTTGTTAATTAATTTTTTTTAAGAAAGAAACTTTGTTGTGAAAAGCAGTGTATGGATACAAGTAGAGCTTGATCGTTTTACACCATATTTTAAATATTAAGAGAAGAAAAAATCTAAGATATTTGAGTTGTTTATTATTAATGCATTTTTGTATTATTAAATTCATTAAATTATAATTATTTTTATTTTAATAGGCCAAATAAAATCTTTTCCAACTGGGCCATTTGAAAAATTCCTTAGACTTTAGCGCTTTGAGTCTAAAATTTAATTCATAATGGTCTTAAAAATGACTTAAGTCTTAAATTTAACTCAGTTAAACCTGCTGAAACCCTGTTTAAAATGGCGTGTTTAACAGTGTTCTGTGAGACTCATCGTATCAGAAAGGCTTGAATAAACTCCACCACAAACACATCAAATAAACCTACTTAGTATTTTTGACGAATGCGCTGTATTTCAGCTTCATTCATGTCTGTCTCGATCACTGACTGCTGTTTATCTGCTGTAACGCATGAGAAGCAGACACACTTGTGAGAACAGTGGGCGGGGAGAAGCATCTCATTTGCATTAAAGACACAGGCTACATAAAAAGCTACACTATACTCGCACACCAAAATGAGCATATTCTGGAGGTTATAATACATTGTCTGAGTATTTTGAGCTAAAACCTTACAGACATGTTCTGGAGGCTTATCTTACATCTTGTAAAAGGTGTAAAATTGGTGCCCTTTAACATTTTTGCATTCATGAAGAAAAAAAGCCTTATGGAAGTGACAGATGTGAACTGGATGTGAAATTGCTGCTTGTGTGGTAAATCAATTATAATTGTTTGACAAACCTACTCGGGAAAACTTAAGGTTTTGGTATTTTGCTAAAAACAATTTTTTTTCATGCAAGGTTGACATTTGCATGAGATTACTCTTCAGCATACACCCTATTGAGTGTTTCATCATGAACCCAAATGACGTCTGTGTTGTAGTGTGCCCCAGCTAATGCTAAAACCTCATGTTACCAGTACACTCCGTCCAGCACCTTTTGAATGTGGTCAGCTGACCTCAGCAGTGCTGGCCTTTGCAGAACGTGATCGGGGCAGCTCCGCTTGGAGACCCGGCACATCTCTCTGCCCCCTTCAGTCCTGTCCTGCTCCAGCCAGAGACTCGTGCCTCCTTCCTCACCCCCCAAACACCTCTTCTGCAGACCCCTGACTGGATATATGACCGATGCACGCCAATTCAGATAACACCACATCTATGACAACCTCAGGGATGGAGATTAAACACTGGAAAGAACAGGGTATATGCTTGTTTTGGCGTTAAATTGACTTTTAATATTAACTAAAGCACTTTTATTCTTTTATTTAGGGTTTTGTTTGTAAAAGTAAGCTTGTTAAGCGGAGGATGTTTGCTCTGGTTTTTTGGTATTGCCTGTGAAGGTGCTTGTGGGAGAGAATGTTCTAGTCACGCTGAGTAAATGGTCTGGGGTGTCTTGATTACAAAGCATATTGCAACGGCAAGCATTTATCCCTCAGCCAGAGAATGCTGTTGGCAAACATCCCGCTTGCCGCACAAATACTGGACTCGCCGTATATTCTGCGTTTGAAAATTAGATGAAGGATATATGATGCGCTAATTTAAAACCATTTCCCATAACATGAGGACGTCATTGCTAATTTGAACTGGTTTTATGTATCATTTGTGTGCGTGTGGGAATCATGATTCATTTTATCATTGCGTATTAACCGGGCCAAACAGAGTCTGCAGATTTTTTTTTTTTTTTTTTTTTTACAATTACTTTACAAAATCTGTGGATGTTTATGTGGAATGATTTTGAGAGCAGTCACTAAAAAGTTGAGACATTAAATATTTATTTATTTAGCTTAGTTAAGGTTTACAACGCAAATCCAATACAGAAAGCTAGTCTCTCATATAATAATTCTACTAAAAGACAAAAAATATTACTTTACAACAGGGCTGCAGCTAACGATTAGTTTGATAATCGATTAGTTGGGTGATTTTATTTTCTATTTATTTTTTTATTTTATTAAATTTTTTTTTTTCAATTTAAACAGAATTTTAAAAAATTCTCTATAGGTATAATAATGTAGAAAAATGTTTGTGAAATAATTTATAAAGCCACATACCAAGTTTAACTTAATTTTGACATTTTTAACCTTTTTAAATGAATAAAACTTCTCTATTCAATATAAAAATAAACGAAGAGCAAAACTAGTTTTGAACTTGTATTAGATTCGCTTTATGAAATTAGGAAATAGACATGCTGACAATAAAATATTAAGCAGCAGGATTTGTTGAAATATCAAAATTATAAGCTATAAACAGCAAATATTTTTTTGAAACCGCAATAGAAATCATATCAAGTGTGCGTTTACTGCTCAGTACACAAATGTATCGTTATTAGCATTCGCTAAAGACCACAACATTGGTTTGGACATTCTTTTGCCTTGAGAACTGCCTTTGTCCTTTGTGGCATAGATTCAACAAGGTGCTGGAAATATACTTCAGACATTTTGGCCCATACTGGACTGGGACAAAAAAATCGACCTTGGCATTTTGGGACAGAGCAGCCCACTACATTCGACCAAAATGCTACCCATTTGTGCACGCACTTAAATATGTTTACCAACTCTCGTTCTATAAAAGCGCAAAAGCCATATATAGAAAATGAGAGTTGACGAATTAAAAAATT